CCATTCTTAATTCTTATTACACAAGTAATGAGAATAATGTATAATTTAAGTGGCTGGTAGCCGATAGGTATACTTTTATAAAAAAATGTCTACAAAGAACTAAATTGGGCCAAACTACATAAACAGTCTTGAGTTGTAATCTATAATAATAATAAACGGGCATTTAACTCAACAAATCTAACAAGAGAACAAGGCATAATTTTAACCCTCTTGCGGCGGCAGGTGTAAAACGCAAGGGAGAGGCACYCTTAAAAGACTACAAATGGAAGTACAACATGGAAATTTGGTTACCGCACCAGGGGATTCGGACCCCCAGGTGCCGCCAGCAGTGAGTGAATCTGGGGTAAACGCCGGCTCCAACGTAGCGGGCTTACTGCGGTCGTCATCCCACGACCGYGAGGGTGCGGGGGTATATAATTTATAGGGGTAATATAATAAAATATATTTTTCAATATTTCATTGAGATATTTCAAGAAGGTTGAAAGTGTCAAGTTTCTCATAACCCTAATTGAAGTTCTAGCCCTAGCTGGCATAAAAAATAAATTATCTAACCCAAATTTTTAGCCTAATAGTTCAAAATAGTTTACGTGGGTATATTGTTCGTATATTTTAGTCATTGCTAGAAAAATATTTTTTACCTTTAAATTATTTAAAGGATTTAAACTTTAAAAATTAAAACATGATTATATTATGAAGTATATGACTTAATGATACATTGATAATATTATCATCGATKTTTGATCAGAAATATTAATTTATTTTATGGCATACATACCAATTTAATATCGAAAAGTAAATTAAAGAATATGTATTTTTATTTCTTAATATAGGTACAATATATAAACATCACTGACTATACTATATTAATATGGTACCYATCATAATTTATGTTATATTTATAGTAAGAAAAAATTTAAATGAGCTGTATATTTGTATATGTGTACAAATTATGCAAAATATGAATTAATACATTTTGAACATTATAAAGTTCTCACAATTAGAACCAAGCGGCTGTATAATTACTATATATACCTATTAGTACGATATAATGTGTTTACACAGTGAGAAAAATTTGAATTATGATAAATTTAAAATATCAGACAACGGATGCAACGGATTATTTACCTTGTGCAAAAAAATAATAAACATYGTGTCTGAACCGATGCGGTGAGGAAACATATTATATTAYATATATTCATGGGCGTGCTCACAGGGTATGCACTATGCACGGCATGCCGCTGCATAGTCTGCGGCTTCACTTGAGGGGTCCATGTTTATCATACCAAAGCATTTTTGATAATAATATTATTATATATAGTGTTTAAAAAAACGTTTTAAGTTTTAAATTTTCTCGCGACCAGCAATATAATCCAAACTATAGACGTGACAACTTTATAAATATGTTAAAATCATTTAAAGACATTCAATATAGTATATACTTAATCTTTAAAAAATAATACATTTTCTTTTAATAAATATAATCAAATTTTAAATTACTTATTTCTACAATTCATTGTTTAATATTCTACTGTAAAACTATGTGTGGTTTTAGATTTTGGGGAGCAAAGAAACTGAGTAGTAAATATTTGAAAAAACTTAGATTGTAGATGGATTCCTATATGCGGTAAAAGAAAATGTTTAACGGCTCAGAATCGGTTTTTAAAGTAAATTATTTTTTTCTTTTAAATTCAATAAAATTATGTTGGTTATYTTTAGTTGCAATTTAGATTAAGTGATTTTTTTTTTGAGGGCCCCTATTTTTCTTATTGCATAACCTGCAAATAAAGTCTGCGCACGCCTATGCATATATTACTGTATGAAACTATATAATATTGTATATATTATATTTATTAGTTTATTACATATAACATAGTGATGGTATGCTGCTAAAATTCTGAATGAAAAACGTTTATCGATAATAATGTTATACATTTTGAAGGTTTATTGGTTTGCTTGACGTGTACGATAAATTATTTTTCAAATGAAATACATATAAACATTTTTATAGTTTTCWATAAGCAATATTTTAAGGACTTACGTGTTTTCTTTGTGTAAATGTTAAGTACATATTCGATGGTAATTTTAATTACCTATGTATTTAGTACCTAATATCGCACATTAAAAATTCAGTCTGACTAAATTGAAAAAATTGATTTTGATATTTAATCGTTGTATCCGTGTCATGAATTATATAGCCAGTAAGATTTTATATTTTCAAGACCTTTTTTATTTTATTTTATTTTATTAGTACGGTCATTTTCAATTGTAACTAGTACAATTAATTTTAGATATTGACACGAAGAGAAGTTTAAAAATTCAACATAAATTTTCTATAACTTTCTATTTAAACAACTAAAAACATTTATATGTAATTATCTAGAATAGAAAAAATTATAGCGTGTACAAATTTGTTGTTGTTTTTATTGCACGTGTATGTTTAGAACATTAAAACAGTCYGAGCCCTAAAAATATTAATGACAATAATGATTGAAAATGTAATTATWAATTAAGATCGTACGTCGAACGTAAATGTTTAAATAATTTAATAATATATAATATACATGTGCAGTGACGGACTCGGTGACCGCGTTTCGGCAGTCCTCTAAAATAATTGCACACGCATTATCTATATTAGTATTATAAAGGATGTACCCGGAAGCGCACGAATATGTGATATTATTATTATTATTATTATATATTTATAGACGGGCGCCCCGCGGCGGCAGACAATCGGCCGGCACTGGTGACTGGGTCGGACCAACGGCTTGGCGCCATTGATCTATTTATAGTGTGCGTAAGAGAGAGAGAGTGTGAGAGAGAGAGAGAGAGAGAGTGAGAGGGAGCGTAAAACTTGAAAAATTGAAAAAACTCAATATAAATAAATAAAACGATCGATGGATATAGAATCTCGCGGGGTTCAAAATGCATCGAATACGTGACGTGCGCATCACTTATACATTTACGTGCATGTATTACTATTATAATTATTTTATACACAGCGCATAATAATGATCGTATACGCGTCATAGAAATTAATAATAATAATAATAATAATATAATAACGTTACATCCACGCCGTTGATGCGTCGACCGTGCGAATATAGTACGTTAGGTTAGGTATAATATTATAATACGTCTGATATTATTATTATCATGTACTCGCATACATGTGATATACATAGACCCATAGTTATACATCATATTATTATTTAGACATCTATACCCGTGTATATAGGACGATACTGTATTATTTGCATTCCGTCGGACAGGGGCAACWCGCATTCTGAATATATTATATTAAAAATTGTTATACCTATAGTTATAACTTATAAGTACTGTATGTCTGTGAGTAAAAAAAGTTCTCGCAAGTCCTGTGTATCTTTTGGTGTCTCTGAGCAGTGACGTATTTTGGGGCCCTGGGCAATATTTTTGGTTGGGCCTTGATTTTTTTTTCTCTGCGTGCTATGCAATTATGAAAAATAAATAAGTAGACTCATATAGTTTTTTTTTTCTTCTGTAACATTCGCTTACCTTACATTTTCAATACCTTACGGAAAATACCGTAATGATATTATGTACTTATTATAGAATAAAATATATGTATATATTTATCGTGGTCGTGTCCACGGGGGGTGCACGGTATGCACCTGCACCCTCTGCGATTTCAAGTGRCATCATGAATTAAGAAAAATTGTTCGAAAATGGGGGCTAGGGCACATTAGCCCTTTGGGTACGCATCAGGTTGCACCCTCTGACCAAAGGTCTAGACATGCCTATGATATTTATACATACTTTACGGTGTATCTAACCCGATTAAATATATACAACTAGATAGTTATATGAGTAGTATAAGTACAGTATATAAGGGTCTCTATAATCTGAACACTGCAGGCTAATCCGAAAGACGCGGTAATCCGAACGGGCTTGAGAATTATCTTATCGCCATAATATGTACATATGTATGTATTTATAAATAATATTTTCCGGTAATACAATTTTTCAATTATGTGGGGCTAGGCATACCAATCCATGATGGGAACCAATGTACAAAAAAAAATCAATATTTTAAATAGTAAAGTTATTAATTATACTCATAATTTAAAAATCTATCTATCTATCTTTCTAGATATATAAAAGTAAGTGGCGGTTTCTATAATCCTTATGATCTCGAAAACTACCCGACTGATTGACTTGAAATTCATCATAGATATTCAGCTACTTTAACTTTTCCTATATTAATCTTATTAACAAACAGTTTCTATAGAAACATAATCATATAATWATAATAATTATAAAATATACATTAAAATATATACATGAAGTCGTCTCGACCTGGTGACCTAGAAAGACATCGAGTGGGGTTTTCATGTCGGTTCTGACCTTCTTCAGATGTAGTTGAATATCTATGTTGAATTTCAAGTCAATCAGTCGGGTAGTTTTCGAGATCATAAGGATTATAGAAACCGCCACTTACTTTTATATATCTAGAAAGATAGATAGATAGATTAATATAATTATGAGTATAATTAATAACTTAACTATTTAAAATTTTAATTGAACGTTCGAAATCCATAAGTGTTTTTAACTCATAGGTACGTTATTGTCGAATCATTTTTTATGGGTACTCGTATAATATTTGATTGAAATTCTTGGACAATTTTAAAAGAACATGCAATGCAAGTTTTAATATAAACACCCTTGAACGTAACGATATCATTAATTTGATTACTCTTATTCAAAATTGATTGTAAGAAGTTGGGTATTGTTATGTTATTATTTGTTGCAAACGTATACTCGTGTCCAGYGAAAATCATAAATTCTCGCAAATCTTGCAGTCTGTTTGTCCAGTAATTATTAATCATCACGTTCAAGATAATGTTGTAAGAATAACTTGTATGAATTATCTTTATGTAATCAAATTAAGAACAAGTGATGAATAAATAGCGTGTAATATATTCATTATAAAGTATAAAAAATAAAATATATTATCAGTGCAAACATTATTTGTTAATATGATTTATCGGATAAATTTTATCCTGTGGTTTTTCACCAGTGTGTGTGCTGCTTTGATGTATTAACAAATTGTCTCTTCTGCTGAACGATTTGTCACACACATCGCACCGGTACGGTTTTTCACCAGTGTGTGTGCGTCGATGTACTGCTAAGCTGTTACATTGGCTAAATGATTTGTCACACACATCGCAAGCGTACGGTTTTTCACCAGTGTGTGTGCGTCGATGAATTTCCAAACTGCCACTTTGGGTGAACGATTTGTCACAAACGTCGCACCCGTACGGTTTTTCACCAGTGTGTGTGCGTCGATGTACTGTCAACTTGCTACTATCGTTGAACGATTTGTCACACACATCGCACCCGTACGGTTTTTCACCAGTGTGTGTGCGTCGATGAATTTCCAAATTGCCACTCTGGCTGAACAATTTGTCACACACGTCGTAAGCGTACGGCTTTTCACCCGTGTGTGTGCGTTGATGTATTTTCAATTGTCTACTTTGGTAGAAAGATTTGTCGCAGACATTGCATGGGTAATTTTTCTTATCCATTTTTCTGTCGGAGTGACGACAGGCTGAAGATTTGTAAATAACTTATTAATATTTATTTTTTTTTTCTTAAACTATTTGGTAACTATGTACTTCTCTACTTATAATCGATTAGACTTTATTGACATCACCAGATTTTCAAGCCAGTATTTGATGCAGTATTTTTTTTACATTAAATAAAGTATAATATTACGCTTTTACGTATTATTAGTAATTTATATTAAATTTTATAATAATAACTGATAGTTGATACCCGTGCACTTCATATTCCGTTAAAAATACCAACTATTTATGATTCRAAATTTGTGTTGAATTTGTCGTTTAATACCTAATGTAGCTAGTGATGTTCAAAACTTCTCGTGTTACAAATTCTCGCAGATTTGCCCTATCTTAATCTCCATTAAAGATTTTTAACACAGTCGTTTAAAATACAGACAATCATCGTTATAGAAACTAGAAAGAAGTAAAAATAACGGCCTCATTCTGGACCCGACAATCCGTTGGGCTTGGGAAACAAATGACCCGGAACAGAATAATGCAGTAAACGAAGAAAAAAAAGTATCTATAGGCCGTGCATTCCATGGTTTCAACAACAGCATAGCATCGCAAATTGGGAAGTTTTTAGACTTTGATTTGGAGCTCGGGGTACAGCCTCAGGTTCCTAAAGCCATTCTTCCGATCACACAACCTCGCTATGCAGGAGCTTATCAAATTATGTATATCGTTTTGAAGGATTCACTATACATAATAAATTACCATCTATATTCATATAGTAAAATAAGTCCCTTTCGATTATGTTACATACGAATTTCATTAAAAAAAGTTAATTGTTAAATTTAAAGATTGTCATGTTATACTTTATATTTATAAGTCAACCGTGAAAGCTGCAGCTTGCATGCTATAATGTAACGTCTTATCTTGTACTACAACTATCATTTTAGCCAGTGTGTTTCGTAGRCTTATTACACCCACCCACCCTTAATAGGTATTGCAACTGCAATACCTGGACATAGGAATCGGCRCCACTGAGTAAACAGTAGACATGAGCCTTCCGACCCTGACCACGGTGCCTCTGGAATTTTCWCGAAGTGTCCACCCCCTAGCGCCGTCTCTATCTCTGAGAAATTCATCTGTACAACCCAGTATAAGTAGTAGAGCCACGGAATAAAGCAGAGCCGTCCAACTGATAAGTTCACCTACAATAGTCAAGAAAAAACATATTGAATGCATTATTTTATACGTTTAAAATAAACTTTATAAATTGGATTAAATTTACCAAAAATTTAATCAACGCCCATTGTGTTATAATATACTTAAACTTGAAAATGTTTAATTTAATTACAATCAAGTCATTTAAGTTTAACGATTTCTATAGATATCTCATTCTTAAATTTAAAACATTTTTTTTTTTTTTAATGAAATAATTATGATTCAAAAACTATTATAATTTTTTATGAGAAATAATACAACTTATTGTTCTTAATTATAAAATATATTACGATTATTATTCTCTTATCACCAAAAAATGAGTTAATATGCTAAATAAATTTATTTTTAAGAATTCTAAAATGAATAAACCGTCCCTATATTTTGTCACTCTAGTGTAGAGACAAAAAAWTATATTTTTTAAGAACTTACAAATCTACATTTCTACTCAGAACTATATTACATCACTGCATGTTAGGTATGCGTACTGTATATTATGAGTAATAATATAGAAACTTTATTGAAATCGTCGGTCCAGGAATAAAAATAAAAAATAAAAATAAAATAAAAAGGAATCCATGAGTATCCATTAGATATACGTACTTACTTAAAGTAAGTAAGTGCCTATGTATTTATAAATATAGTTATTATTTTATTAACAATAAAAATGATTTAAAAAATATGATAATATTATAAATTAATATTTACAAATGCATAATATATATGTATATAAGTATTTTGGGTAGTTTATAATTAAACCGAATAATTATGTAATATATTATAATAAGACAGTAATTTATTCTATTATAGGTTCGTTAAAAACAAATTTATACATTTTAACCATGASAGTAATGTTCATATAGAACAGCTATATATTGGGTAGGTATATCGTACATATTATCATGTGCTTATAGTATGCCTTAATAAGTAATAACTTAAGAATTTATGACCATTAAATATGTATTTATACTTTTATAATCCACACTAACCGATCGTATAAAAATGTATTATAAAATATCAAATCGAATAGCTATAAAGGTTATAAAATTACGTCTCATGATTGATTGTAAATTATAATACCTATATGCATTATGCATGATATAACAAATATAATATATAGGTATGTTATACATATACATAGGTAGGTATATGAACTTTTACTACAAAACGAGCAGCGAATCCTTATATACTTATCCAACTAATATTTTACGGTTGGCTATGGTTGCGATCTCATTAACCATATACTTATCAATATGACAATCATTATGTATATTGTATTATAATATATAATGCATTGTACACAGTACACGGTTTTCACTTTTCGGAGTTATTACTCATTATCCTTATCCATACGTTGTTTACCTTTATAAAATAATATATTTAATATATTATATTTATAATATAATTAAAATTGTGTATAGTAAATGTAATAATACATAAGTGTGACATCGCTAAAGCGCCTTTTCGTATGTATAATTAGTAAATAACATATTATAAATTATCTCCAAATTAGATCATCAACGATAACACATATATTTTTACAAAAGGTTCTGTGAAAAACTAAACAATTAAATACAACTCTCCCCTATCTCGGATCTCCCCGTATTCTTTCTAGCTTCCAGAACACGTTCAGACAATTCTACTAGATAATATTGTTTTAACGCAGCTGGTGTAGAAACAGGCTATTTATAGAATGTAACACATACATGTAGCAATTAACGATGGAAAGGTGATCTTGCAAGTCACTCTTCCTACATAAGTCATTAGGCCATAGTACTTTTATTATTTTCTTAAATTGACTTGTTTATTGTTGTATAAAACTGCAAAAATATGGATTGTAAAAATTAATAAATAATACTGGTAATCATTTAGATATTATCGATATCCAGATCTGAATTGGAAATTTATGAACACGCGAAAAYATGCAGCTTCATCACAGACCTAATAAACTGATCTAGTCCGTGTAATGTTTCATTGCACAGTAAAACCGCTTAATAATAGAAAGATCTCCAAGGAACCTAGATCGTTATTGTATCCAAACTTCGTTATACCTATAACCYGGATGTCAAAAAATATAAACGGAATCGTAATAAGCGGATTCTATTGAATTATTAGTTCTTCTCATCCTCACGCCTCCACATGATGTCCGACGGTATAGATGAACCGAAAAGTGCATCGATGATGATTATTCTACAATAAATTCAACTACACACACTTGTGAGTAGTTATTTAATCGTGTATTTTCATATCATATAAGATGTTTAATGTTTGTATGCCGTAAGTATATCTCGCGTTAATTCAAGTGACGTTATATATAATATATACATATATCGATGTGYTTTACAATTACAAACTCAGCTCTTAACATACGCATATTATACAGTGTGTGTGTGAAATTTTCAATCGCAAAAATAATAGAAAATCAATTGACCGGGTTTGTGGTGGTAAAACGACGACGAGTACGACCTATAGWACTTTGCACTGATGGTCTTGCACGCGAGATAGGTACCTATTTGCGGTGGTGCATCGGTGCAACAGGYCAGCGGCTCGAGGGACGTGTTGGAAATCCAAAATAATCGTTTAGAGACTCGGCGAGCAAATACGACACCGGAAATCCTATTATAAAACTGGGAATTATTCATATATTATATCGAATATCCAAATAAGAAATTCGCACGTGAACATGAAGCTCCTTCATCGCAGAGTAAAAAACCTGCTCCATCTATAACGGTTCACTATATATATTAGCTCTTCTCCTCATCCTCACGCCACCGTACAATATCCGACGGTAGCTAGACCTAAAAGTGCATCGTACATGTTTATTCTAAAATTTCTACTACACACACTTGCGAGTATAACAATACAATTGTGTATATTTTTACACTATTTAGTTACATACCTATAGTAGGTACCTACTGTAAAATGTTTAATGTTTGTACGGTGTATTGGTACAAGTACTCTGGTGTTTATTAATGCAAGCGACGCTCTGTATAATATATATATATTTACGTGCGTTCGTACAAGTATTATAATACTAAACAACTCAGCTCTAAACACACGCGTACTACAACAACGGTGTGTGTATGTGAATTTTTCAAGCGCAAAAATAATCGAAAACCAATTGACCCGATTTATGGGGAGGGGGGGGGTACGATTACGAGTACCTATAGTCTATACTACTTGGCACCGATCCCTATGCGCGATTTTATTATTATCATCATACGATTGCGCCACGTCCGATTAATGTGTGCGGTGATGCACCGGCAAGTGCAACAGTCCAAACGCCGGGGGGACGTGATGAAAATCGAAAATAACCGTTTAAACGATCGCCACTCGGTAAACGCGTCTGCTACGACAACGGGAGTCCTATTATAATATTATATAGTGGGCATTAACCGTAAAAATACCACGTGTATACCTAAGTGCAACGTTTCGACTGCGTTCACATAATATTGTGCGTATTCTATATATATATATATATAATCATGATAATAATAACAATAATGTTATAATAGAGTTCGAGTTTCGATGTAACTAAATGGACGGTCGTCGTGATGTATTGTGTATTTGCGCGTATATGTATGCGTTTTACTCTCCACATTAACATTTTAGGCTATCAATCAGTTTTCACAATTGGTTCCGCGTGATTTGGAAATAACCCGATGCGGCTGTCGGTACATAATGTATGATATTATGTAATAATAATATATTTATAGTTAAACGTAATATTATATTATAATCATATGCAGCCGTTTTAGACATTCAAATGATTAATATATATTTCGTTCTGAAAATAGCACC